CCGCGGCCCCCCCCCCCCCCATGCCCCCTTCTTGACTTGCTCGGCAGGCAGTATGTTTTGCTAATTCGAGGAACTTTTTTGACATCCAATTTTAAAATTCTACTTGTAGGTGAATTTGACAGACAAGAAGATGACATTCATTTAGTGACATTATGTGTGACAGGTAAGTTCTGCCACTTTTACCAGAACAAAGCTACAGGTTGCAGGAACGTTTTGCCCTCCCACTCCCAGTAGGACCTGGCACTGGGACCTCAGGACCTGGGTCAGAGAAGACGCACACAGCTTGATGTTGCTTTGCTGACTTCTGTTCTGGTTTTTCCCATCATTGGAATGGCCTTCCCTTCCTGGCCCATGTCCAAACCCTACTCAGCCTCAGTTCAGATGCTGACCTCCTCATATGCACCTCCTTTCTCCTTCCTTGAGATTTTCAGAAGCCTCACTGTGTACTTCCAAGGTGAGGGCATGAGATCTCAGAGAAGAGCTGCCACCTTGAGCAGCAGGTATGGTGTGTGGAGAAGGCCCAGAGGCACCAACTTTGCGAGTGGCAGTTTTTTTTTTGTCTTTTTGGTGACCGGCCGCACCGCACTCAGCCAGTGAGCGCACCGGCCATCCCTATATGGGATCCGAACCCACAGCGCCATGGGGTCAGCCCAGTTTGTTCAGTTTAAACCTGCCTGCCCTGAGACTCAGCAGGGAAATGGGGCAACAGGCCCTTTCATTTTCTGGGTCTCCTCCCTGCCTCCACACTTTGTAGTAGGGGCTTCTTCTTGGCCTTTATTATACAGAATGAAAACATTTTAGTATTTCTCAAAAATTGTAAAAAAAATTTTTTTTTAATTTCTCAGAATTAAATGACCGGGAAGAAAATGAAAATCACTTTCCAATAATTTATGGCATTGGTAAGTAGTGTGTTTCTTTGAGGGTTGGAGCCTTGGTTACAGGTTGACTAGGCAGGCTCTGGTTCAAGTCTGATTCAGCAAACTAGTGATCACCACTGCTATCAGTACATGACAGCCTTAGGTTCAAATCCTAGCTCCTCTGTATATCTGCTGTGAGACCTTGGGCAAGTAGCTTAACTTCTCTAAATTTTATCTACAAAATTGAAATAATGTCCACATCTGAAGATTGTGAAAACAAGGTAGCAATATAAAGCATAGACTGTGCCCGCCCTTAGCGGGAGCTGGCTGTTTGCCACTAGGCATGTGTTCTTCCCTTGAAGAGGCCAGATGTGCTTTTCTCCATCCAGTGCTGAGGGGGAGGGAGCGGGGCATTTGAACCTTTTTATACATCAGGAACCAAGTAAGGTTTTGATTAACAGAGATCCTACAAAAGAAAGTGTAAAACTATCAAGCTAAAGAAAACCCAGAACCCTTCTTCCTCCTGTGATAGCCTCTAGGACTCCTGAGGATATAGCATGAAATTGTCTATATTTGCACAGGGCTTCCACCCTATCTGTAATATTTTACTTAGCCGGGTAATGGGGTACACAGGTGTTCATTATTTTATTCTCTGTAACTTTGTTTAAAATACGAAAATTTAAAAAATTCAAACAAACAAAACCACCATCCTTTGCTACCATTGCAGTTATACACAAATGCACTTGGTCACAGGGCTGACCAAGGAGGTCTTGCCATGCATCTGCCTGAAGAGATGGTGAGCTTCCCACATGGGGAACAAGTCTTGGTTTAGAACAAAGTCTTACTAGTCCAGCTGAAGCTTCAGCTATTTTCACTGAGATGCTTGGCAAAAAGTTTGCATTTCCCATTCTGGGACGGGGGAAGCTACAGACACTTAAAAGAGTCATTTTGTTCAATTTCCATTCTTTTCTCTTTCTGACTCTTACATAAGGTGGGCAAATGTATGACTATACAAACTCTCTACTTTGGGTCTTTCATTCTTTTGTCAATTCAAAGTCATCCTGTTGTCCCTCATAGCTGTCAACATTAAGACTGCAGAGATTTACAGAGCCTCCTTTCAAGATCGAGGTCCAGAGGAGGAGCTGCGTGCTGCACGAACTTTAGCGGGAGGACCAGTGAGTTTAAAATCATCTCTGTTAAGGAGTAAAAAATGGCATCAAATGCCAAAGCCTCAAGTTTTATAGATCTCAGAAATGAAAAGTTTATGTCAGCTTCTTTAAAGCTGTAAATTACCAGGGACCACCACACACACACTCTCTCTCTCTTAGAAGAGTAATGAGTGTTTTTAGATTTTAAGCTCATAATCCCAGTTATCTGCCTAAAAGGTGCAGGAGGAAGTATGGTGAACCACAGCATCCAGATTCAAAGAGAACAAGCCTTTATACAGAAAATTCTCACAAAGTAAAAAAGTTCCCACAAAGAGAGGAGTGCTGGGAAGGAGGAGAGGTTTCTCCCCGCTTTGCACTCAGGATCATGCATTCTTTTGGACCAAATCACTGAAGAACAACTTGCTGGAATTATTTAATTAACCCCAAAGAATGATCAAATCAGTTTAAAAGTCTGATTTCCGTAGGGTGCTTTTTAATTAAATAACATTTTTATTTTAAAAGAATTCTTTAAAAATGCTCAAAGTGGGCAGGCTGATGAGCTTAGTTGGTTACAGTATGGCGTTATAACACCAAGGTCAAGGGTTTGGATCCCTATACTGGCCAGCTGCCAAAGAAGAAAAAAAAAAAAAACCAGCTCAAAGTACGAAAAAATAGAAATCACATTGAGCACACCACCCAAAAGAAATCTGCTCATTTATGACATGCTGACATTTTCAATGGAAAGTATGTTTGGATTCATAGTGATTTGTTTTGCCAACCCTTTAATATTTTTAGGATTCCTTTTGCAATTTCTCAAGTAGCATACTAGCCTAATTTAGTTAATATTCAGAACATATTTTAATCTCAGAAACCAAAATTGAGTATTGCTGGTTAAGCTGGAAATAACCATTGCTAAATTTGAGAATTCAAGGAATTGATCATTTGGCAAATCAGGTTTTTCACAAGTTGGTTTTTCCTCTTTTGATGGGGCAGTAGGCATTGTGTGCTTTTAAACTGCATGGTGAATAGTTGCTTGGGGTATAAATAATGAGGCAGTGTTTTATGTAGCAATAAGGGGCATGGACTTTTTAGTCAGCACACACCTGGATTTGAGGCCCAGCTCTGATGCTTCCTGGACACATGACCTGGGAAATATGCCATCTTCCTGCAGGATTTTCATAAGGACTAAACAATAAATGTATGTTACCGACACAATGCAGTAGTAGACACATTGGAAGTATTCAGTAGGTGGCAGCTTTTGTTATTGAGACAAAATTAAGAAGCTTATCCAGATAAATGCCTTAAGTACTAGGCTACACTGGAGCTTGCATTAATGGTAGGGTTTGAGAAGCAGGTAACATTCCTTAAATTCTGTCCTCGAAATGTTTTTTAGATGATTAGCATTTACGATGCAAAGACAGAACAACTTCGTATAGGACCGTATTCCTGGTTGCCATTTCCACATGTGGATTTCTGGTTGCAGCAAGACGATAAGCAAATACTAGAGGTGAGAATTTACAGGGTGGGTAAGTCTTAAATCTCTGGACCCTGGTTTCCTCATCTGTAAGAAAAGAAAGGGTTTAGACTAGATAATGGCTGCTTTTCTGATGGCAGACACCATTTAACTTTTATATCAATTGGGGATAAGTTCTGGATCGAAATTTGTACAGGTGAAACAGTGAGCAGTCAATTGCTTTTTCTCAGTAACACAGGACACATCATTTCTTAGGTATTTTACTATATATATATATATGTATGTGTTTTTGTATATATGTAGATAGTGATTTGAGAACATCTTGATTAATGTTTAGGGAACACAAATATACTTTGACATCTTTATATCAAGCAAGATCACTCTTCTCTGATGCCTGTCATCTTGCTTTTTCAGAACCTTTCCACTTCGCCTTTGGCTGAGCCCCCCCACTTTGTTGAACATATTAGATCTACCCTGATGTTTTTAAAAAAATACCCATCTCCAACCAACACACTGTTTCCCGGAAATAAAGCTCTACTCTACAAAAAAAATGAAGATGGCTTGTGGGAAAAGATCTCTTCTCCAGGAAGCTAGAAATAGGAATTACCAAAGAAAGCAACTTTTTGGCACGACAAAGACCACTGGTGGGTGTTGGAAAGAATATGAATTTGGAATCTACATCCGTTGAGTCTTAGGTCTCCTTCACTCAGTGTCTTTCAAATGACTTTCAAAATAAAATCTTATTTTGGCAAAGACATTTGTTTAGGTTTACTTTTTGCTTTACTAAGTTTTTGGTCGGTAATAAGGGGCAGAGGAGAACCCACCTGTACTTGTTGGTCTATAAGAAGCTATTTCAGATACTTGGGTAAGTATTTGTAATTCTGGCAAATTAATGAATAAAAGTAAAAACTGAGTTTGTTTGAAAAACAATATTTAAAATGCAATAAAATTCACTGAGAATTTATACATCTCACAGAGGTTTTTTTGGCCTTAAAATATTTTAGAAGCTTCAAATCCAAAACTGTTCTACATAGATAATCTCCTATGAGACTAAATTTAATCTGTGAGAGAAATCTGTTCTTTTAGGTTAAGGTCATTAAAATGCCCAAATAGTGGTTATTACTTATTTTTCTAAAGTTGCTATCCAAAAAGAAGTCATCATGCCCAACTCTTAGTAAAATTTGTAAATGGAATTTACTAGTAACAATTCCAAGAACCTTTATTGAAACCAACATTCAAATAGTATCTCAAGGGAGAAATGTTTCAGCAAAACCAATTTAACAATTCCAAATATATATAAAAACATTTAAAAATTAATCTTGTTAAAGGTGATAATTTACCCCTCCCCATTTTATCTGCTAGACTTCATTGCACCAAATAAACAGGGAAGACTTTAATCATCTGCACCAAAACAATAAGAAAGGAAAACTGTATTTTGACAAGTGTCAAATGTCAAAAATCACATCAAATCAGAGTGTAACTATAGGCTTAATATGGTATAACTAAGGCTTCCAATACTACAGTCCACAAACCCTGTGTCAATTCCCAGCCATCTTCAGATCTCCGGTAGCTTGACTTTGCTGGACTTAAAGGCACAGAGGCCATTACTTATGATAAAGTGATGCAGTACTTTGGAAAAATAGAAATGGGCAGTAATTGAGCTTACTTCTGATAGTTTCAGCAGTAGTCTGGCTTGATCAGTCTGAGAAAGATGACTTTTCTGGTTCTTGTTTCTGAGTTGGGCCCAAAGGGGTGAACTGCTACTCGAACAGAAGCTACAGTGTGAGACAGGTCAAAGGTATGCTTACTTTACGTAGGTGCCACACAGCGTATTTAATGTTAGGCTCTTAGGGTAGCATCTATCGGTTTTTCAGATATTAAACACAGAAATGAGCACAGTCTGTACTTGTGTGCCATTTAAAAGCTTTACCAGTATTTAAAAATATATATGGTCAGGAAGAAACTTCATAGTTTTAATAGATGAGTCCTTAAATTTGTTTACAAAGAGTATATAAAGGGAGAAATGAATTGTGGCAGAGGACAGTCCCAGACAAAAGCCCTGCCACAGCTCATGTGGACACAGTCCTTACTTAAGTCTCCAGGAAAAGCAGCAGTTGGGGATGGCAGGAGTGGGCTTCTGACACTCTTATTTACAACCCCACTGAAACCCATTCTCTTTTAAGCCAAACAATCCAGTTGTATATCACAACTCGTTCACACTAAAGACCAACTAAAACAAATGGCAAAAAATGCTGTCTGTCTTGGCTCTGCAGAATTACAGCAGAGGAATCCCCCTGACCCCCCAAAGTTCTAATGAAAGCTGTTTTACCAAAAAGTTAGATGTGCAACCTAATAACTTATTATGCTTACGTTTAGAAAGATAAGAGCAAGTGTTTCAAGTGGCAGGCACTTGAAATTCTAAGTGTTCTTTGTAATAAAAAGTGTTTATGGTAACTTTAGTGAAATAATGTAATGTATTACCACAGTTGGGAAGGACAGAAACAATAGTTGTTGATTTTCTACATACACATAAAATTAGGCAAATTGATTGCCCTCCTAGAAAGCCTGGCTTTCAGGCACATATCTGTGCAAAAATCCCAGTTAGCACAAATAATAGTAATTTGTATTAGCATGTGGCACAGTTCACATTTTCAATATAACTTCATTTTCCCTGAAACAATATTCAGCACAGTCTCAAACCAAACACTGAATTTTATCTTAAGCTCTCTGGTTCTTCTACCTGTGGGTGGTCATCTTCTGGGCGCTGGGCCCTGTTCTGGAAGTCCTCAGTCCGGTTGGCTTTCTGAGGGGTGGGAACCCCAGGGTATTGCTCAGGGCTGCTGGTCTCTGGGGTGCTTTGCTCTGGCTCACTGGACAGGTGCTCCACCTTTTCTAAGTCTTCAACGTGACTGACTGAGCTGGTCTCACTCAAAGCATCTGAACCTCTCAGGGACCTTTTAAAAGGCTTCTGGCCTAGAGAAAGATCAGATGAACAGCGCTGAAAGCTCGGAAAGGACGTTTCTGTGACAAAGGCTCTCTGTGCGACAAGCAGTTGCTTCACTTAACGATAACTGCTTCAGCAGAAATCCCTGGAATTACTTCAGCTGACAGAAGTGAGAGCTGCTATCATGGCACTACCATGCTCCCCAGGCTGGGAACTTGGGAGGTCATCTTCATCAGGAAAAGCTCAGGAGAGTTAAACACCACAGTTAAAAGCTGCCATCTCTCAAGACCCTAACATCCCCCTTGGAGTGCTTCTGAGGTGTTTTTTCAATGCTAAATCCCAAGGCTACTGAAATGGTATTTTAAAGGGATAGTGATAGTTGGCCTTAAGTGAAGAGGAATAGGGCTGAGTTTAAGAACCAAGAAAGCAAAGGAATGCAAGTAATAGGCAATGGGATGGAACTTCCCAAGAGAAATACCACCAGTGTTCTTCAGTGAGAAAGAACTCAAACATGGAGATGTAACATACCTGGAAGTCTCTGTTTACTGCGAATGCCTGAGGGGGTTGGAGGCGGTGTTACTCCTGTACCTTGTGCTTTGTAGACATATATGGGTTCTGTGGACTCCAGAGAGCCTGCCGGGAAAAGATTAGGGGTGAGTGGAAGCTCCTGGCACAGGCTGCCCTGGGAGATGCCACCTGCCCTCACTCAGCCTTCTTCCCTTATTAAGCTTCTTCCAGCCATTCAGCTTCCCACAGTCTGGGGGAGACTGGCATTTCTGAACTATGCCGAGAACTACTGAAAGCCACCTTGCAGCTAGATCATGTCCTAGCCCCGTTGAGTGTTTTATCCTTCTTTCCCCAAGTCTCTGGAACACTTAGCCAGCAGTGTGGCGCAGTGTGGCACAGCATGCTTGGGGAACAGGCCCAACTGGGAAATGTACTTTAGCAATGAGAAACAGATGCCCCTTTGCTAAAGGCTGAGGCTTGATGGATCAAAAATCAGATTATCTTTTGCCTTCATGACAATGTAGTTGTCATTTCCTGGAGAAAGAACAAAGGAAGGGACTCCAGGTTTAAGGAATTATTTCCTTGGAAGAACAGGAAAGTACTATAATATTTTCCCCAAATTCCAGCAACTGGTAATCCGTGCTGGTTTCCACTGCTACATACTACTTCCTCTTTCAAAAGCAGCCCTTTACTGGGGCAAAACACTAATGAGGACTGCAAAGAATATTAACCCTGAACCCAAATGCCCAAGACCCATTGTCTTGAGGTTCTGAACAGCTGAATGAACACGTTCTCATTGGATTCAAGGAAGTGGAGTCTGCTCGCTGTAGGGAATGGTTTCTACTTTTGCATTATTTCAGCTGTCAGGGTGGAGAAGTCCGATGACAGAGCAGCAGAGGCAGACAAACTTCGTCTCCTTAGATTCCTGGCAGTCTCCAGTAATAAAGCATGGGAACAGTGAAAGGCTCCTCAGCATGAGAAGTGATGGGACCGAGGGCATTTGGTCAAAACTTAAGGCAAGTGAGATCTGGGCAGAGGCTATTAGTCTCACCTGCTGTTAAGTTAAAAGTTCTTCCTTTTTGTAAAGCTTGTACTGGAGAAAACCAATTCAGCACGGATCCTACTACAGGGATTTGCCGTAACACTCCCTGCAAAACATAACCAACCATTTCTCAAGGTCATCTTGCTGAGTCCCGCTCCCAGCCTGATGCCATCCGGGAAGTATGATCAGTAACCTCACCTCTTCCAGAAGTCGTTCCTCATTTGCCTTCTGCAGTTCAACCTGAGCATCCTGAATTCCTTTCCGAACAACTTCTGTCATGTTTTCCAGAAGCTGTGTTAAGACCAAGAAAGGCATTACTTGTCTAAAGCTTCTGGCCTGAGTCCTAGAAGAACTATTAACACAGCATTTTTCAAAAGTATATCAGTAAGTGGAATTCTGCATTTTAACACCAGTGTAAAAATAAAATAGGAAATCAAACAGAAGAGGATAAAAGGCTCATGGGGATCCTAGGCAGACATACCTTGATGACCAGCCTCATTCGCCAGGCAACAGAGGAGAAATAACTACTTACAACCTGAATATCATGTCAATAGAAAACAAACACTGCTCAACATTTGTAGAAACAGTCAAGTAATAAAGGCGGGTTTGGAAGAAACCTTAAGCAGTCCTCCCAAGAGTGAATAGAGCTGGCTCCTCAGCCTTATTTCAAACTTCCTTTTCTTCCCCACCCCTACCCAAAAGTGAATCCCATGACACGTGTTTCTATCTCTTCTCATACTGGTCTTGCTGTGGTCCCTTTCCTCTCTTCTTGAGTGATTTCTGGGGAATCAAGCATCTGGTTTAGAGAAGGCCCTTTAAGTCTTGTAGGTCAGTGCTCCATGCCAACTGGCCAATACAAGCAGCTCTGTTACTAGTGGGAAGTCCCATTATCAGAAACATCCTGTGCCTCCTCAGGACCCAATTCCAATTAGGTTTTTTTTGGAGGCTGGCTGGTAACCAGTTCCAATTAGGAAGTTTTCCCTGACCTTGCTGGGCAGAGGTGGATATGTCTTCCTGAATGCTCAGCCACCCCACCTTCTATGCAACAGCATTTACTACTTTGTTTTGTTATATGTATCTCTCTCCCCAACCAGCTTGTGCATTCACTGAGGGCAGGGACTGTGTCAAACCCACTTGACATTTCTGATGCCTAGCACAATGCCTAGGTCATGGAAAACATTTAACAAACTTTCTGGGAAAGAATGAATAAAGAGACATTTCCAAGGACAGCTTCTTTGTGACCCCAGCTAGTTGGCAGGGCAAAACCCAGAAAAGGAATGAAACACTGATTAGTCTTACAGACCCTTGAGTTTTCCTCAATTTCCCGGGCTGTGACCGCAATGGTCTCCACCAGTTCCGAAACATCAATGTCGTCACTCGCCATGCCAATGTAAATACAGCTTTTCATACTTTTATACTCAGCGCCTGCAAGAAGAAACAACGGACTTGTTTCCCCAATCCTCTGTTGTGAGACATAGGCCCTCTCTCCTGTACAATAGCATAACCAGGCAAAAGATGTCTCCTTCATGGAGACTCTAGTAAGGACCGGGGAAAAGCCCCTGAAAGGCTGTAAAAGGGAAAGGGAGATATCTCACCCTCTCAAGAACTACAACTCCACCTGGAGTTAAACCTAAGTTTCCTCCAAAGCGATAAAACCCATTTTCCTTAGGCAGTTAGAAAATGTACTTTCAAAGTTCACAATTGTCTTATAAAAGTAGTAATTACCCATTTTAAATGTAAGGTCAGATCCCAGTTCATTTAACTTTTTCAGGAGTCCAGCATGGATTTTTTCTCCTTCTGGATCTGACTTCAAACTGCTTTTATCATCATTAGCATGTTCATACCTATAAATGATATCAGACAAGAGTATTTCAATCAAAAAGATCAAATGTCTCTTCAGAAACAGGATAACAGGTGGAGCATAAACTACTAGAGATTAACGAGAATGTGGAATGAGTCAAATGGACAAAGAAGCCACTGATAGTGTTTCTAGATTGAAAATTTCTACGAATGTCACAAGGGAAGCCTAAGTCTTGAGGTCCATGAAAACCTAAAGAGGCAAGGTCTGGAAGTCTCATTATTTGCAATAAAAAAGAAGACCTGCCTCATCTTTGAAGGAGATGGAGGGCAGCCACAGAAGCTGCACACACTGAACTAGAGAGGACAGTGGAGTTTTGTCTTCCCAGGGAATTGGGTTCTTTGTCTCACTAATTTGTAATTTTCTTTATACCCTACATAGGCACCATTTGTCAGTTATATATATATATACCTGTCTATATACTCTCCTAGGTACTTGCGAGTTGGCACATAAAGACACAATATCCAGTGACTCCTACCTCACTGAGTGTGATGGTGGGTCTAATCATCTGTCTGCACTGGGCTTTTGTTTTTTTTTTTTTTTTTGTCTTTTTTCCTGTCCGGCACCGGATCGCAACCCTCAGTGTTGCCCCCGTACCGGACCGGGGACCGGCAACGGGATCGCAAGCCTCGGTGTTGCTCCCGCGCCTCGCTCAGCCAGGTAGTTTTTAAAGCTCCACAGGCGATTCTAATGTGCAGTCAGGAACAAGAATCACTGGAATAGAAAACTAAGGGTCATAAGATATCAAAACATAGGAATCCAAGTGATTTCAGAAGTCTCATTCTATTTCTGAGAAGTTATACTGGAATGCTAATCTATCTAAATTTAGCCCAGAAGAAAAAAAGCCCCTCCAAAAAGAGATGCTGATAACTATAGGAGAATAGAATATCATAAGGGAAAGGTAATCAACCCAACAGCCTGGACTTTAAGAGACATGAATTGCGCACTATCCAGTGCGCCACCGGGCCGACCCTGCACTGGGCTTTTGTAAATGCCCAGGAAATCTAGTTGAATTTTCGTTAGACAAGTATATTGTGACTGCATGTATTCATCTTGGACTTCTAAGCTGGTTCACAAAATGACCCACCCATTTTCTTTATACAGCAAAGTCTGTAACATCACTTGGCAAGCTGAAACTTTACCTGACGACTCCTATTCCAGGCCAGTTGGGGTCATCGACATATAAGAGACCGGCTGTCCCTTCCACTTCCTGCTTGAACTCTTCCCGCAGCTGCAGTGTACAGGTCAGAGCTGGCAGTTTGCTCTGTATGCAGGTTACAAGCTGATCCACATCCTCCCCCTGGGTTCCTAAACCTGAAAACGTTCATGGAATGTTAGAGAAATACTTAAGGAATGGGTAACAATGAGAGGACAGGGCTCCCCCTTCCACCATCAGAATGGTCAAAAGCTCTAGGTATATCCAATTAGTTCGAGCTGGGGAATAAAAAAAAAAAAAAGAAAGAAAAGGCCGCTCAGCCCAGGTATGCAAGAGTTAGGTGTTAAAAATTAACACATAGGGGCCGACCCCGTGGCGCACTCGGGAGAGTGTGGTGCTGGGAGCGCGGCAGCGCTCCTGCCGCGGGTTTGGATCCTATATAGGGATGGCCGGTGCGCTCACTGGCTGAGCGCGGTGTGGCCGGTCACAAAAACGACAAAAAAAAAAAAAATTAACACATAGCCAGCAGCTCCAGGTATAGAGTTTTTTCTTTCACAGATTTAGTACACAATTAAACTCTCCACTGTAGAAATCAAGATTCTTCTCACCAAAAGCCTGACTAAAGTCAGGTTATCAGGGCTGGCTCAGTTGGTTAGAACATGGTGCTGATAACACCGAGGTTCAGGGTTTGATCCCTGTACCGGACAGCCACCAAAAACAATAAAACATCAAAAAAAAAAAAAAAAAGTCAGGTTATCATATAACATATGATAGGTTAAAAACAAAAGGGCAACCACAACTTCTCTCTTTATTACAATCGAGTGAAAGGGAAGCATTTTGATGGATTTGTGTCAAGGACGCCAGGAAGGGCAGGGAGATGGTGACAGCACTGAGTGATTTCAAGGTCAGCGACTGAATCTAAGGGCTTCAGGGCTCCAAAGTCTTGGCAATGTTACTCCTCCCTCACTCCCTCAATTCAAATGCTGTGCATGATCTCAGGAGGCCTCAGTACATGCTGCCTCAGGGAGTGGTCAGCTTGCTTTTCGTTTGAGAAACTAAGTCTCTAAGGCTGGGGGTGAGCCACCAGCATCTTCACCATGGCTTTTTCTTTGCAGGACAGATGCTTGATTTTCTTACTTTGATGTCCTTGAGAAAATATCCTTCCCAAAATGCTGAAAACATCTTGTGAAAAACCAAACATTTTCTCATAAAAAAACACCAAATTTTAAAATCTTTTTTTCAGCTTATTTTTAAGTGCCTACCATAATATGCCAAGCACTACCTCAGGCATTTCATATATATGACCTTGTTTTTATATTCACATCACTACCATGAGGTAGTGGGGAACAGGTCTGTAGGTCAAGAAACTCAAGGTCCCACAGGTATGAAATGGCTGAGAGGGGACATGTACCCAGGACTTTGTTGTAAAAGTCCATGTACTTTCAGCTACACTGATTTCTGAGATGTCTAAAGCAGTGGTTCTAAACCTTCACTGGCCTATTAAAATCACCAGGGGAGCTTTTAAAAATATAGATGCCCAAGCTCCATTCCAGACCAAGGAAATCAGAACCTCTGTAGGTGGGGCCCAGAGTTGGTAGTTTTTAAAGCTCCACAGGCGATTCTAATGTGCAGTCAGGAACAAGAATCACTGGAATAGAAAACTAAGGGTCATAAGATATCAAAACATAGGAATCCAAGTGATTTCAGAAGTCTCATTCTATTTCTGAGAAGTTATACTGGAATGCTAATCTATCTAAATTTAGCCCAGAAGAAAAAAAGCCCCTCCAAAAAGAGATGCTGATAACTATAGGAGAATAGAATATCATAAGGGAAAGGTAATCAACCCAACAGCCTGGACTTTAAGAGACATGAATTGTTTCTCCCCAGAACAAAAGTGAGGGAAATCCACTGAGACTAGGTACCTGCTGCTGTCAGCAAAGGGCTGAACCGCATACACACACCCTCGACTTCTAGGTCCATGACGGTGAGGCCACTTGCAGGCACCAGCTGTTTCAACTGTTCTCCCAGCTGCAGGGAAGAGGACAGAGTGAAGCTGCTCCTGCGTGAGGGAGTCAACTGTCCTCAAGTCCTACCTCATCCACTCAGTCCCAAGCCCAAGAGGCTCCTGGAGAGCTAGTTTCCTTTCATCTTTTGATTGTCTTTGAACACTTATGGCAAGTTCTTTGTAAAAACAGTAAATTTTACATTTTTTTTACTAATAAATACAAAGTTCATTGTAGAAAAATCTAGGAAATACAGGTAAACCAAAAGAATAAAATAAAAATTACCCACATTACATCATTCAGAAATACCCATTGCTGACATCTGGTATACTCCCCCAGGGTTGTGTGTGTGTGTGCATGTCTGCGCGTATGTGTGTGTATTTTTTGCAGTCATAAAACATGGTATTCTACGCAATTTAGTAAACTGCATTTTAAAATTTAATTTATGATGACCATTTCCCTCTGCCTTACACATTCAGCCACACGGTTTATAATGGCTGTCTTGAACCCCACTGCACAGATGCACCATAACTTATTCCGCAAACCCCCAAGGTTGGCCATGTCCAGTGTTTTGTAGGCCTGATACTGCTGTACTGAACATCTTTGCAGTGTTTAGAACGTTCTTTAGACTAAAATCATAGCGGTACTATTTCAATGTCAAAAAAGCTGCCGAAGCATAATGCCTTTGACCGATTTGCCAGACTGCCAAAGGTGTTCAGGGAACTTTGGCCTATGTGCCTTCTAATGTTGCTACAGACGCTCACCAGCACGCCAAAGGAGCTGCACTGCAGTCCATGTTTGCATGTTGTTTTACAGCCTTACATAGCAGCAAGGAAATGGTCACATGAGGAAACTGAGGGTACGATGCTGAAAGGACTTGCCAGAGGTGACACAGAATGTAAGGCAGTAATCCGATTCATAACAGAACCTAGAACAAGCCCAGCACCTTCACTGGGGGTTCTCTCCTGTGGGTGTGATTTCCTGTACACGACCATGTGTTATACCAACCATGAGGCCAGGTGAGGATGCTCTGGTTGTAAAAGAAACAGCAGACGACTGCCATTCTTACCCAGCGATTCAACGCATCGCAGGAGTGCCTCTCCCTGCCGACGGTGGAAGGTACCATGTTGGGCATTGGGACAGCTTTAAACACTGGATCTGACGCCAAAACACAGAAAGGGGATTCACTCGCAAAACATAACTAATTAAAACAATCATCCCTCCAGCCCCATTTCACTTAGATCCCAATATCAACCCAGGGAACAGTCTTACATGTTACTGAAATCAAATGTAAATCTGACAGAAGGTTTAAATTCCACACATTTTTTTCTCATAGACTGTGTAATTTTGAATACATTCACACAAACAGAATTCTTAATTTCATTTAAAAAGTTTTCTTTCAAGGAATTTCGAGAGGAAATCCAAACAAACATGGTAAGTTAACAACTAGTCCACTAAGCACTGTGTGAGATCAATCACATTGCCCAAGGGCATCCAAATTGGGCTTTACAAACATTATCCTTCACTCATGAAAACGGTTTGGGTGCCCACTCATGCCGGGCACTGTGCTACACACTGTGGATATAAGGCCAGCGAGGTTTTTTGTCACCTTGGAGCTTATATTCTAGTTGAGGAAACAGACCAGAAAGTAAAATCACTGTATGTTGTAAGTGCCATGAAAGAAGCGGGGGCTTTTAATACAAGTTTTGATGGAGTCACTTCAGACGGGAAAGACAGGGAAGGCTAGTGAGATAGTGGACATTTAATCTAGATGGTAAGGAGCCAGCCATAAGAGCAGCAAGGGGAAATGTGCATGAAGCACAGAGAACCAGTGTCAGGGCCTGGCACGAGGTAAGAGCAGTGTGTTCCAGGAATGCAGAAAAGACCAGTCTAACTGAAGCACAATGATCAAGAGGGCAAGTGGCAGAAGAGGAAGTCAGAAAGTCAGAGAGGAAGTTGGGACAGGCCTGATGGGGCATGGTAAAGAGCTGAGACCTTGTTCCTTTGAAACAGTAAGATACCGATGGGTTCTAGGCAGGGAAGTGATACGATCTGACTTCTACATATAATGCTTGCTCTGACTGCCAGGTGGAGAATGGTCTGGAATGGGGTAGGTAGGATGTACAGAAGTCAAAGGTCAGTTGAGAGGGGACTGTGGTTTACCCAGCTGAAAAATAATAGTGTCTTGGACTAGGTTGGCGACATCTGAGACATTCTTTAAAAATCGAGATTCCTGGGTTCAACCTACTGAATCAAAATATCTGTGAAGTAGGGTCCAAGAATCTGTATTTTCAATTGACTGCAGCCCTGGTCCAAGGACTGGCATTTGGGAACCACTGGTTTCGCTCTCTCTTTCTTTTTTTTTTTTTTGCGGCTGGCTGGTATGGGGATCTGAACCCTTGATCTTGGTGTTACAAGGCTGTGCTCTAACCAACTAAGCTATTTGGCCGGCCCTGGGAATCACTGGTTTAATCACAGCAAGCTAGCAGTAAAATGCTAAGGCATTTAGGACTAAAATTCTTGGGACTAAAAATCGTTAAATTTTTCTGAAATGATGACTGAAGGTTTTAATAATAAAAATACTTTGAACTATCTATTTAACTTGAAATGAGATCAGATTCAAAGCACAGATACAAAAGTAACCCTCTTCTAAAAATCACCTACCTGAGCCTGGTAATTCCTGGAAAAATCTGAACACCACTACTGGAGAACTGAGCTCATTTTCCACCTGCAAAAATGGAAGTATGATGTTACTAAGTAACATTAAATTCCACACACCTACGAAATGAAACAGTGAGTTTGAAAAATAGGCTAGAGATGCTCTATTCTGTAAATAAACACATTAAAAAGTTCAAAGATTAATTTCAGTTGCCAGAGAAACAAAAATCAAAAGTTTAGTAAAATTTTTAGAAATAACTATGAGCCAACCTTGAGAATACATTGTGAATTATAAGATTAATATTTGACAGCAGTACACTGAAATTAAAACAGGAAGAAATTTTAATAGTAATGGATAAATATAGGTCTAACATTAAAGTTCAAAAAAGATAAGGTGAAAGTAGAACTACGATCAGTGCTGAGATGCCAATGCTTTCAGGAATCCCAGAAATTATGCATGACCTACTGGAACTTTTTTTTTCCTTTTTGTCTTTTTTACTGACCGGTAACGGGATCGCAACCCTCGGTGTCGCGCCCGTACCGGGGACCGGCAACAGGATCGCAACCCTCGGTGTCGCGCCCGCACCGCGCCCAGCCAGTGAGCGGAACTGGTCTCCATATGGGATCCGAACCCTCGGCAGGAGCGCCGCCGCGCTCCCAAGCGGCGCACTCTCCAGTGCGCCACGGGGCCGGCCCTACTGGAACTTTTATACTCACAGAAAAGAAGAAAAAAGAGAACAGAACTGTATCTATGTATATTCTAAGTACGTTTACTTATATTTAGTACTTTTATTCTGTACTTATATTCAAGACAGGCATCAGACAACTAACTTCATTAATGGATTTCCTAACAGATGAAAACATTCATTGCATTACAATAATCTGGCACTAAGTTTGTGCTCTCTATTGAACAAATGTACAGTCAGCCATCAGCTTCACCAGAGGTTCAGAGTACACAGTGAGCAGCAATGTCCTTGGCAGGCTCTATGGCATTCTGGGGTGGGGAGAGGGTAGGTGGGCAGCAGTCGGGGAGAAGATCTCTAAGCATTCAACAATTCCAGGACGATAATTCTCATCATAAAACCTATGTCCCAAGGCTCTGAGTATGTATGATGACTCACTAGTAGGACCACAACAGGAAATGCTAACTTGGAAAGACAGGATGTAGCTGGCCCAAGATCTTTTCTACTAACTTTTCAAAGGACTGTGTGGATGAGATCCAGATCAAGCAAGGTTTATATTCAAATCTGCCAATTATTTATTGAGCCAGTTCCTGTACTAAGTTCTTTCACATCTGTCATCTCTTTTAACTTTCACATACACAGATGAAACTATTAATACTTTTAAAGGGACAGGGGCTTAATGTTTATACAGAATGGAGTATCCAGCCATTCTCTCATCCTCAATTAGGATAAGACAGAGTGATCTGAATGCCACGACTTCTATGTATATTACGACTGACTTTTGTTTCTTTCTTTGAACTCAGTGCTCTCAAATGTCAAATGTACATAAGAAATACTGTAAAGGATTATACACACAAACTTCTGGTTCTAGCAACATGGTAGACTGAGCTAACACTGAAGTTATCAATTTTAAATACCTGAAATGTTGGATTCATTATAACCAATCAGCAAAAAGAGTTTAAGCCATTGGTGGACTCATAAAAAAGGTGAATACACAAAGAGGAGGAAACAGAAGGAAGAGTGTAGCTGAGCTGCAGGGGAAGGGGAGAACGTATGGGCCTGGAACTTGGCTTTCATGGCTAGGGGCTTGGGTTTTAATCCCATGTGAGAGACAGCAGTGAGTTTACATGATGCTTTTGTGAAGCTTCTACAGGAAAAAATAGACAATGAACAAATATGTATGACTTCAGATAGTAAAAAGTGCATTGCAGAAGGAAAAAACCTAGGGGAGGGAAAGTGATAGATGGTGATAGGAGGTTATCTTAGGGTGGTCAGGAAAGACCTTTCTGGAGAGGTGATGTCTGAACTAAGATCTGAAAGGTAAGAAACCAGTCATGAGAAAAATTGAGAGGAATAGTATTTCCAGGAAGAGGGAACAGCATGGACAAAGGAGGCTGCTGTGAGGGTTTAAACAAAATACTGCATGTAAGGTATTTAGTACCACCCATGGTACCTAGTAAGTGTTTCACAAGCAGCAGCTGCAATAGAGATGATGATGATGAAGACTGATAGGTTACAACGTCTCATGGTGTTTGCCAATTATCGTACGCTCTACTGAAAAAAGCAACCATTTGAAGAAGGGACAGAGTAGGGTTTATGCCTTGGCCATGTGTGGCCTTACAAAGATGCTCCAAAACAACTGCAGATTAACTAGCACCATCAAATTCCCCCTACTTGGAATGAGGGACTAGAGAGGACATGAGGAAGAGCCTGAGTATATTCCACAAGGCAGGGAAAGGAAAAGCATACAGGCCCAGCACTGCCTTCTTTGATTCCCAACAGCTCTCTCAACCCACTTCATAATTTGGGTCTGTTTGCAATCAGAGGAATCTAATCAAGATACTTTCATTTGAAGGTTCAGCTCACAGGTTCAGGAGGCTAAGAGAATGAATCAATGTCACAGGGCCACCCCATGGCACCACTGAAAGTAAAACCCAAATCTCCTGACTTACATTCATCCCCTCTGCTTCTCCAGTGAGCCACTCTCCTCTTCCAAGGCTCCCCATAGCTAGAACTCAGGTCAGGTGGCTCCAAGCTCCTACTTAGCAGACAATGTCGAGTAGCCCTCCCAAACCAAAACATTTTCTAAAATAGAAATAAACTGTACTAACTTGAGCCCCAAATAAACTCAGATATTAGTTTTAAACTTAACTGTACTCTGCAGACTTGTCCAAGAAACACCCAGTGAATCTATTTAATTCAGAATCTGACATACATATTTCCTGCAATCCTAAAATGCAATGAAGCAAAACATGAAAACATTCAAACCTGAATTGATAATCATTCTTGGTTGTTAGCTCTGCTAAATCCTCCTTTCCTTGTCTAGTTATTAGCCCTAGGGAGCAATCTCTGATAGATTTATTTTAGGAAGACACCAGGAAAAAACAAGAGCAAGGCTGCTTGCTTTTCTCTTTCTCATTCCCCTTTGTGCAAATGAAAACTCTGGTGTCAGAAGGTTTCAGAAAGAATAGCCCAAGAGATTTTGAATGTTCCCAACATAGAGAAATAATAATGTTTGAAGTAATGGAAAAATATATCCGTGGTTGGCAGGGTTTCAGGGGAGAGGGGTTCAGAGGGAATGAGGCAGAGATGAATAGGTGCGGCACAGAGGATCTTTAGGGAGTGAAACTATCCTCTTTGACAATGTCAGGAGTGAATACATGATGTTATGCACTTGGCAAAACCCACAGAACTGTATAACAAGAAGGGGGAGCCCTAACATAAAACTGAGTTTAAAAAAAAAAAAAAAAGAAAAGAAAAGAAAAAGTAACCCAGAGCATTTGGAAACATAAAATGATTTTACATTTCAGGAAAACGGGTGTTCTAAAGTCCCTGGGCAGGTGAAGTCAATTGTGTTTATAAGAGGACTACATGAAAAGCACTGTAATAATTTAAACATTGCATGGTACAAATTTCTTGGTTTTGGGCTAACTGTATAATTAGGTCATAAATATATGCATGATTCCTTCCCAAAGAATGTGTTTTTTTTTTATTGGAGCTGCCACAATTCCACTGAAATGTGTCAAACCTGGAAAAAATCTAAGTACAAATTTCTTGGTTTTGGGCTAACTGTATAATTAGGTCATAAATATATGCATGATTCCTTCCCAAAGAATGTGTTTTTTTTTTTATTGGAGCTGCCACAATTCCACTGAAATGTGTCAAACCTGGAAAAAATCTAAGTTAAAAAAAAAAGTTATTTATTTCAAGAATAGATGAAATTATATACTATACCAAGATTTTGATGTGGTTCACCTTCTTCAAACTTTCCTGCAACCGTTGACTCTGCAAATGACAAAAAGCAGCTTATGTCATTTCATTGGATTGATCCAATTTTTTAAGAAGTGGTTTCCATGAGGGGCTTTGTGGGTCTGCAGACAAGAACCTTAGGCAGACAAAGTCATCAGCAACTTTGTGATTTCTAAGTTTGGCTGCCAGTTTTTGCATTGCAACATCTGCAAATATTCCCCCATCTTTCACTTAAAAGTTCCATGGAGTGATACGAGAAAAGCTGTTTCTAATTAGACATATGTGAATCTGTCATTAGGAACATAAGTCATCCATTCAAAAGCTACTGAGTGCAAATGTGTGCAAGGTACAATCCTGAATATCGGAGAGGCCAGTGATAAATGAGAGAATACAGTGCACTCAAGAGCTGGGTAAGGGCATGGCTCTGCCACTTACTACCTGCAGGACCATGGGTAAGTTACTTACTTTGCCATTTACCACCTATGACCTTGGACAAGTTATTTAACCTTTCTGTGCTTTAGTTCCCTTAACTATAAAATGGGGGTGATAATATCTATCTTACAGGGTTGTCGTGAAGGTTAGAGGTGTTGATATGCATTAAGTGCTAAGAAACTGTAATTACAGTGTGCATTGTGTGAGGGCCACCATCATCATCGCACCATCATCATTGCTATATTAATGACTCAATTTCTGTTCCCTCATCACTGAGTTGGGAATAATAACAGTACCTAACTCATGGGGTGGGGTACATTAATTCAACAGATATTCATTGAGTATTGGACACTGGAAAGTCCATCATGAAAACTAATTCTTAATACATTGTGATTGGTGGAACTTACATTGCAGTGAAGTTGTGGGGATTGTGCTTGGCACTGAGTAAATGCTCAATAACTGCTACTCATGAAGAAGAAGAAGAAAGAAGAAAGTGGGAGGAGGAAGAGGGAGGAGGAGGAGGCAGAGGAGGAGAAGGTAGTGGGAGAGGAGGAGGCGGCGGGGAGGGAGAGAAATAGGACAAGAAGATACTGATTTCTGCTCTCAGGGAATGTATGATCTCATGTGGACTATAAGGCATGAATATACACAGATAACCACATCCGGTAAATTTCCATGCAGTTTAACATGGCCATTTAGCAAGGTGAGCCAGCAGGAGGTTATCATTCAAATCCACATGAGTATTTGAGATCAGCTACAGTTTTTGCTTGCAGGAAGATGCCAGAGCTGTGGTAACGTCAAGGGTTTGGTAGTTAATGTCATCATTATTTTCCTGCACTCCATAGGCCAAGGGGAATTGAAAAACTTTCCCTTGAGTGCCCAAACCGTCCCTAAACTGACAAAGTTACTATGGCAATAAAGGCTTCTCCTTCCTAAGAATCAAACTTCAAGATGTGAGCTAACAGCACAATGAGAACACATTTTTGAAAATGTGGTGCTTTTGTAAATACAATGAGCATAAATCTTAAAATTATTATTATTATTTTTAACAGGGCTTACAGCCTTAAAAAAAATTTTTTTAAAATTATTTCTTTTTCCTTTTTGTCTTTTTTTTTTTTTACTGACCGGTAATGGGATCGCAACCCTTGGTGTCATGCCCGTACCGGGGACCGGCAACGGCATCGCAACCCTTGGTGTTGTGCCCGCACCGCGCTCAGCCAGTGAGCGGGAACCGGTCTCCACATGGGATCCAAACCCTCGGCGGGAGCGCTGCCACGCTCCCAAGCGGCGCACTCTCTAGTGCACCACCGGGCCGGCCCATTAAAAATTATTTTTTAATGTAAAAATGAACTAGGGGCTGGCCAGTGGCTCACTCGGGAGAGTGTGGTGCTGATAACACCAAGGCCATGGGTTCGGATCCCACATAGGGATGGCCGGTTCGCTCACTGGCTGAGCGTGGTGCTGACAACACAAAGTTTAGGGTTAAGATCCCCTTACCAGTCATCTTTTAAAAAAAAAAATGTAAAAATGAACTATCCTAACATATTATGAACCAAAGGACTACTGCTAGAGCAACATGAATATACTAATTTTTCCTAAGTATAAAAATGACACTTAAGAAAGTACAAATTCAGGGCCGAGCCCGTGGCGCACTCAGGAGAGTGCGGTGCTGGGAGCGCAGCAGCGCTCCCGCCGCGGGTTCGGATCCTATATAGGGATGACCGGTGCAGCTCACAGTGCTCACTGGCTGAGCGCGGTGTGGCCGGTCTCAAAAAGGACAAAAAAAAAAAAAAAAAAAGAAAGTACAAATTCCCCAAGAATATATTTTAGAACAAAGATTTAAACCTGTATGAATAACTTACTATATGATATGGCACTACTGTAAGAGCTTTACCCGTATCAACTCATTTAAAGTCCTCAAGGGCTGGCTGGTTAGAGCACCGTGTTGTAACACCAAGGCCAAGGGTTCAGATCCCCATACTGGCCAGCCACCCCTCCCCTCCCCAGAAAAGTCTTCAAAACAATCTTTTGTTATATTATTATTCCTATCTTATGGGTGAGAAAATAGAAGTGTTGAGAAGTGACATTATGCTTTTGAACTTAGGTAGGGCTCCGCTCTCACACTGCATAAATATGGCTTTTTCTGCTAAGTACTATGGTTTAAATCTTTGTGTCCCCCCAATGCAAGAGAATTTAGAGGTAAGGTCTTTAGGAGGTGATTAGGGCATTGCAGGTGAAGCCCTCATGAATAAGATTAGTGACCTTATAAAAGAGGCTGAAGGGAGTGTGTTTGCCCCTTCCACATGTGAGGACTCACAGAAGGCATCATCTATGAGGATTAGGCCCTCACCAGACACTGAATCTGCTGGCACCTTGGTCTTGAACTTCCCAGCCTCCAGACTATAAGCAATAAATTTCTGCTGCTTATAACCCAGTCTCAGGTATTTTGTTATAGCAGCCCGAACCAACTAAGACACTAAACTACAGCATAATTATATATATTTTACAATTCAAATGGAAGAATTAGAATTGTCCCCAGATCCCTGCAGATTAGGAACCCAATCAAGCCAGTTGGTGTTAAAAATATCCATGCCATCCAAAAGCATCCTTCAGCCTTCCTGCTTCCTTACCCTGGAGTCAGTCAGTCAAGGGGAACATCTATGCCCCCTTTATGCATCCTTCTCCACTCCCTGGAAGTCATCTTGTGACTTCTTTTCTCAGCCCATGTGGACACTGGTATTCATTTTGATCTGATACCATGTGGACACGAATGCTGAGACCAACCCCAGAACTTTCTTCCAGAACTTTGAGCAAGAAACATATACATGTGGGACAATTAGTCTGTTTGCTCATGAGATGGTAAATTTAGATGATGAGGTAGTAGATGCAGGGTACATAAATGAAATATTTTGCTATCTCTGCTTTTGCCAAGGAGTCTTTGTGACTCATTTAAACTTCAGGTGTCTACTCACCAGTTGACAGGCATGCTTTATCCTCTCCACAATCCCATCAAGTCCCAAGTATTGTAAAGATAACCACAACGGCAGGGCACGGAGTTTGTCTGCTGGCTTATTTGATGTAAGACCAGAAACTAAGGTCTAAAAAAGCCAATATGGGTTTATTAATCAAAGCCATTGAAATCTCATAACAGAATCAACTAGCTACCATTCACTACTCACTTAGTCCATTACAAATGCTATGCTTTAGATATTTGGCTTGCATTATCCATTTGATCCTCCGACAACTCTATGAGGTGACTATTCTAGGAAACTCAGCTCAGAGACATTGCTTTGTTCAAGGCTAAGGAGTGGCCAAAGTCAGGATGAGAATCTAGATGGGTAACATCCCAGAGCCAGAGCTCTTTGCCATTTAAGACGTAGCCCATTCCAAGGTTGCTCTGAGTGTCCTCAAATACCTAGGCATTATCGACTGAGCAAGATATCAACTGTTTCAGCAGTAATCATCTAAAGCTTATTTTACACATGTATCACAATTGATCTATTATCAAGAACCACAACTATGATTTAAAAAAAAAAATCATGCTACAACCTATTGGACAATGTGGACCAGGAGCCTTAAAATACTTAAAGTACTTCCGCTCAGTTATTCCACTTCTGTCTCATTATTTCAGTAACAGAAATTTGAAAATATCTTTAAAGTTCACAAATGGAGAATTATTAAATAAACTGTGATACTTAAGTGACAATATTATGCAGTCATAAAATGCCACTAAAAAGTCTTCATACACCCATGGAAGTAAAGGGTGAACAAACAGAACCAATAGAAAAATATACATGGTATGGTTTCACTTATGTTAAAAGATTTTTTTAAAACATGTAATAGAAGTGGAATTAACGAAAATTTTCACTTTTTCCTTTACTTTTCTGTATTTTGCACCCAAAGCCAGTAATGAGTATTAGCCCCTCTGCACTACCTTCCCAGGGAGAGTAAGCTTACCAAGGCAGGATCATCATGTTTATAGAGTGTCACTGCAGGAACTGCTGGCAAACCCAGCCATGGGCCAGGAGTCATCGTCATGCTGTCACATTTGGTTGCAGCCTACCAAAAAGAGAACAACTTTTTATTAGATTATCAGAATACACCAAACCCAACACCCTCCTCCATTCATAAAAACCGTGGAAAGCCATCAGGGATTGAGTGATTTTAAATTCCTTCTTAAAAACAACAATATTTAGTAAATCAACAACATACCAGCACTGACGAGGAGACATAACCTAGAGCCAATGTTGCCAGATTCACACTGGAAGAAAAAACACCAATCTAAGAACTAATTATTTATTGTTGCTTATTCACCAAGTATGTACTTTAAAAAAAAAAAAAAAAGACTGTGCTGTTTTTGCAAGTCGACATTTAAATGTCTTTCAGCTGTGTTATTAGCTTTCATAACAGCAACAGAAGATGTAGTTTATACAAATTTCAAGAAAACTTTGAAAATGCATTTTAACCAAAATGTGTTTCAGGGGACATTTCTTTCTTACTTCATATAATGACTGTACTATTCTAGATCTTTCACAGCTACTATTTTCCAGTCATCATTTTCTGAGGGATAAAATAAAAAGAAACCTGGATAGAGGCTATTTTGACTGCCCTGCATCCTCTTCCCCCTCTTCTCTAAATGGCACTCAAACAGCCTTCTGGGAAACCATCCCAATTTCTATTAGCGCACAAGCTTTGGTTAGAGAAGACAACAAACACCACCTGCTCCAAAGATGGGAAAATAAACTATCAGAGTATGACATTCTCCTGGCCTCAGAAATTTGTTCAATGTGAGACTTCTGACCCACTAAACACAAAGCTGGAAAGAAAGCTAGAGTTTCTGCAGCTACTTTGTACTGAAATAGCAAAGTCTGTCCACAGACAGGGCCAACACAGAGGAAATCAAGCCAAGTGATTGTGATTGGGGGAGGAAGACATTGAATTCTGGTTGACATGCTGCCTAAAGCCAGTCCTAACACTGGTCTTTTTAGTTATGTGAGCCAATAAAATCTCATTTTGCTGAAGCCAATTTGGGTTTTGTTATATGCAACCAAAAGAATGCTTAGTGATGAATGTCACAACAAAGTGAGAGCCTGGATGTCCTCTCTCCATAAGGACTACGTGCAGGCCCAACATGGAGCCAACCACCCTCCCCATCTACTTACCCGTCCACGTGAAGCCATATGCCATACTGCTCACAGAGCTCTTTCAAACGTCCAATCTTGTCTGTGTGTCCTACTGCAGCAGTTCCTGGGAAAAAACAAATAAAAGAATATTAGAAAGAAACAAATATTTTCTGAGTCTTTACAGCATAAGGGTTTTTATACACTTTATCTCCCTAGGAGGGAAGTAACTTCTTATATCCCTATTCTGAGATTTTCTTTGTGGACTGACTTAAAATCAACTTTTGCGAGTTGGTTTACAAAAGTTTTGAAGTGTGTGTATTCTCCATTATATGTATCTAATTGTGTTACTGAAATCTTTTATATACTTGTTTTCTATCTACTTGATCTGTTGATTCATAAGTATATTCAAGTCTCCCACCAAGATTGTGGGTTTGTCAATTTATACTTGTATTAAAGTACTCAATAAGTATAAGTCAGTTTATTTCTTTAGTTTTCCTTCATATATTTCAAAGTTATATTCATTAGCATTCATAACTGTTATTTCTTTTAGACTATGTCTTTCATCAATATAAAGTCTATTTTATCCCACACTAATATTGCTAACAGTACTTTTGTTTTGTCAGCAATTTCCCAAGATCCTTTTCTTTTCTACTCTTATTTTTATTATCACTTCCCGAATTATTTTGACTGAAGTATGTCTTTTATAAAAAAATACATAAATAACTACAGATTTTTTTTCACCCAGGTGCTTTGTTAATATAGAACATGTATTCTGAAGCCAGTTGAAACATACCTTAAGCCACTCCCTTGGTAATTTGCACTACAGATTTTGCTGGGCAGATCCCTTTTCCGACAGAGCTTAAGTAAAACATGGAGTCATGCATTCTCCCAGCTGTCCTAAATTTCCAGTTAACAGAATTCCAACTAATAAGCTTTTGAAACCCTCACAACTGCCTCAAACACAACTAAAAAAAGTGGTTCTTCTGCAAGGTCAACGCCAGGAAAAGGGCTGAAAACCTTTTTCCCCTCACATATAAATCCATCTTAAATTAAAAAAAAAAAATTTAACTGACACATTTAGTTTAGTTGAAATAAGATCAAACGCCAATGCATGGATTGTGCCACATGACCCTTTCATCAAAATAAAAGCATAGTGCTGTGTTTTAGGGACTAGATCACGTTCAGATTCCCTTCTCATATTTTTTGGCAATGTCTGCTGACTAATCCCCAGGAAGTGTATTCTGGAGACTGTAATGCAGTCACACTGGTAAGTCCCTCAGTCACATGCAAACTGCAGCTCCTCCAGTCTATCAAGGATTTAAATATGGGTGGATCTGTTTCCTTCTAAACACACAATACGGTAAGTCAGGCAGCAAGTGGGGTTTTTCCTGCTTGCAACAGGGTAGACATTTAAAGAGGTTTTTCCTGTTTGTTTTTTTAAATAAATAAAGTATAATTTACACATAATAATGTATAACATAATTTACACGCATCCTTCCAAGTGTACAGTTCAGTTTTGACAAATGTATAATGTGTAACCACCAACACAACCAAGATATAGAATATTTCCATCACCCTCAAAATCACCCTTATCCTCACTGCAGTTGCTCTTTTTCCCACTCCTCACTGGCCCCAGACAATCCTGATCTGTTTCTGCCACTGTAGTTTTGTCTTTTCTAGAATTTCATATCAATGTGATCATACAGTATGTAACTTTTTGTCTGGCTTTTTGTATTGAGCATGCTTTTAAGATTCATCCATGTTGACGTGCATTTCATTCTTTTCATTTATTGCTTACTATTCCATTATATGAATATACCACAATTTGTTTATTCATTCACCAGGTGAAGGACATCCAGGTTGTTTCCGTTGTGAACATTTGCATACAAGTTTCTGTGTGGATGTATGTTTTCATTTCTCTTTGATAAACACACAGAAGTGGGACTGATGGGTAATATGGCAATTCTATATTTAGCCTTTTGAGGAACTGCAAATTGTTTTCCAGAGTGGCTGTAACATTTTGCACCCTACCAGCAATGTATGAGAGTTCCAGGTGCTCTGCATCCTCACCAGCATTTGGCACCGTATTTTTTTATTTTCTTCATTCTAACAGATTGTAGTAGATCACGGTGATTTTGGTTTGCATTTCTGTAATGACTAATGATGCTAGGCATCTTTTCAAATGCTTAGACGTTCACAGATTTTCTTCAGTGAAGTGTCATTCAAATCTTTGGTTCATTTAAAAAACTGTATTGTTTGTCTCCAGAGTTAAGAGTTCTTTGTATATTTTGGATGTAAGTCCTTTGTCTGAAAAATGTTTTGCAAATATTTTTCTCAGTCTGTAGCTTGCCTTTCCTTTTCTTAATAAGGTCTTTTGAACAGCAAAAGCTTTTAATTTTTGATAAGGTCCAACTTACGGCTCATGCTTTTTGTGTCCTTAAGATATCTTTGCCAAATTGAAGGTCACAAAGATCTCTTCCTAGATTTTCTTATAGTTTTATTATCTTAGATCTTATTTTAGGTCCATGAACCATTTATAATTTTTGTACAGGGTGAGGTCAGGGTTAAGGTTCCATATGGATATCCAATTATTCTAAGATCACTGGTAGAAAAGACTGTCTTTTCTCACTTGAATTACCTTGGCATCTTTGTAAAAAAATCGAATGACTATATATGTCACGTAAGTCTACTTCTGAACTCTTTATTCTCTTAGATTAATCTCCAGTCTTACTTGTAGCTTTATAGGGAGTCTTGAAGTCAGATATAAGTCTTCCAATTTTGTTCTTTTTCAAAATTATCTTGGGTATTCTCAGATCCTTTGTATTTCCAGCATAAATTTTAGAATCACCTTATCAATTTCTATAAAAAATTGTAGGCTGCTGAGATTTTGATAGAGATTGAATCTGCAGATTAGTTTGGGGAGAAATGACTTAACAACCCATGCACATGGCTTATTGTTCCATTTATTTGAGTCTTCTTAAATTTCTCTCAGCACCATTCTGTAGTTTTCAGTGTACAAATTTGTATATGTTTTGTTAAATTTATCCATAAGCTTTTCAGGTTTTTAAATACTATTATGACATTTTAAATTCAATTCTAATTATTCATTGCTAGTATAGAGAAATCCAGCAAACTTGCTAGATTTGCTAATTAGTTTCAGTAGTTTTCTTTAGTGTCCTTAGGACTTTCTATCTATACATTCATGCCATCTGCAAATAAAGACATTTTTACTTTTGCCTTTCTAATCTTATATCATTTATTTTCTTGCCTCATCGTATTGTCTAAAATTTCAAGTACAATGCTGAATATAATATGAAAAAAAGAGCAGAAAGTAGGTTGTTAACCTGCTATCTACAAGATGAATATTTAACTGTGATATTTTAAAATTCAATTCAGGACGGAGAAAGGAAGTACATGAAGAAGATAGAGAAGCATTTACAACCTAAATGAAAAAGTATACACACACACACACACAAAAAAAAAAACATTGCCCAAAACAAACCAACAATGAAAGAAAAATCTAATGAGCAATTTTAATACTGTAGTTCTCACCACAATGCGGATACAGACTATCTTAAACATGTGGCACGCAAACATTTCTTAAGACTTGGTCTTTTTTAGGCTCGATATTTAGCCTCCCTCTTATATATCCAAAAGTGCAGACTCAGGTTCACAATACCTACCAGCATTTGCGACAAGCAACAGGGGCAATCTTCCTCGTTCTATATCATCTTTAATCAGTTTCTCCAGGAAAGCAACATCCTGGGATCAAAAACAAACCATAAAACATGAGGCAATAAGCATAAAAGTATATAATGAAAAATTATGACTTCCAAAAGAAGATGACCCTTAAAATTAATCACTGAAATCAGTTCTTATTCTTGACAATTTTGTTTTATCTAATCACACGTGAAATCAAATCGTTTTCTTGAAGAGTAATTAGAAAAATCAGTTAAACAAGATTAAAGGCGAAAAACTGCAGGTATATAGGACTAACATTTCTCTAGTTTTAAACACGCACATTTAATGTTCTCCCACCGCCCTCCAAAAAAAGCCAGTAATGTACCTACTATTACTCATTGATGTACCTGAACTAGAAAATAAAAGTACCTTGATAAAAGAAATGCAGAACTCTACCATCTATCCCTTTTACTTCTGGCTTCAACACAGAAAGGTTTATCATTTGCATGTCTAAAAATAAGCAGAACTCAATTCCAAGGTTATAATGAAGAACCTCTTTTTCAAAATTTGCCCATTCATAAATCCAGGCAACAGTGATAACTACTTAAATGTATGAGCTTTAGAAGGAATTTCTGATGCTTCTTTAGACTGCCATGTTTCTACTTATAGCATGTGATATAGTGATTACAAGGATTCCTTAAAAGCCAGGTGCTCCTGACCTGTATAACAGACAATCATCATGGACATTCAAACACAGAAGCATGTATTATGCAATGGAAAGACCTAAGCAATAAATGAATAAACTAATTATCTGGAGGCCAGCCAACAGAACTTCAGTTGAAAGGAAGACACAGTTTCAAAACACAATTCCCTATTATTTCACAAACCAAAAAGAGAACTCACCATCTGATGCTGGGATCCAAACATAGTGTTACAGGGCACACGACACAAGCAGGGGAAGGGCAAGCTGAGCTGCAAGAAGAAACAACGCAACTTTACAAGAAAGATCTCTGTCACCATTCACTCAGGATTGTGAAAGACTGTGGCTCTAAGACAAGACACAATTATTCTTTAAAAAAAAATTTCTTTCCTTAGGAACTAACTCTTAATATTATAAATAGATGTTAAAGAACATTTAGAAAGTCAAGCCAAAAAAAAAAAAAAAAAAAAAAAAAAAAAAGGCGAATTTCTACCTGCCTTATAAGAGGATACAATGTAAAATTTCTAAATGAGTCAAGGAACTATCTCTGGTATATTCTAGAACATACCAAAAAACAAAAACACTTTTCCAAACAAACAACTGAGTCCTGAGCGTTCTGGGGGAAGTAATTTATAATTTGGATTCTTCCTCCAAGCATTACTGGTAGATAATGCCAGCTTAAGGCAGTCAGAGAACATCTTACTGATTGGTCCATCCACCCCTAAAAAGTAATAAGTATGGATTTGCAGATGTACATTTCTTAAGAGAAGTGAAGTGTTATGGATGGAGACAGTTACTATCAAATTAATTTTATATTCTTCATTTTTAGCTTTCAAATCCTTTAGTAGTTTATAGTGTTAGGAATTGTAAACAGTGCAGCATATCGTTCTGTATAACTAAGACTTGGCAGCATTTAAAGACCAAAAATTTTACAAGCACTTTGTTCAATTTCTTCCTTAAAGTTTTTTTTTTTAAATTACAAAAGTAATACCCAAGTAAAACAAATCATCAAAAAATAGACACTTAAAGTGAAAATGGCCCCCTATAAGCCACCAACCAACCCACCACTGTTAACAGTTTAGTAAATAACTTTCCAGACATATCTAGGTATCAATATATGTAGTTATGGGGCCGGCCCGGTGGCGCACTGGATAAGTGCGCCGCTTGGGAAGCACGGCGGCGCTCCCGCCCGAGGGTTCGGATCCCACATACAGACCGGTTCCCGCTCACTGGCTGAGCGAGGCACAGGAGCAACACCGAGGGTTGCAATCCCGTTGCCGGTCCCCGGTCCGGTACGGGGGCAACACTGAGGGTTGCGATCCGTTGCCGGACATGGAAAAAGACAAAAGACAAAAAAAAAAAAAAAAAAAAAAAAAAAAAAAAAAAAAAAAAAAAATGTATTTATATAAATTCTTCTAGGTATAAAAAATACATACATATAAGCATGTACATACTTTTAACATGAACATGATCATCTTATATATACTGTTTGCCATCTGCCTTTTTCACTTAACAGAATACTCTTACACATCTTTTATTTTTATTTACTTTTAAAAGATGACCGGTAAGGGGATCTTAACCTTTGACTTGGTGTTGTCAGCACCACGCTCTCCCAAGTGAGCTAACCAGCCATACCTATATAGGGATCCGAACCCGTGGCCTTGGTGTTATCAGCACCATGCTCTCCCAAGTGAGCCACAGGCTGGCCCCTCTTACGTATCTTTTAAGGACTATTTGCTGCTCAAGACAGTCTTGGGTCCACAAGAGCCTAGCTTGCAGTAGATACTCAATAAGTAATCTGCTTCACGTTTGTCTAGGAATATTATAAATCTCCCATTTTGTACACCCTCAAGAAGAGGACATAATTTCTTGCCACTGATGATCACAGCTCACAATCAACTTAAGTCCCGGAGCTTCCCTCACCCATCCCCTAGAACCCTTATATCTTACAAGAGAAGAACCCTCCCATCCTATGGGTTTTGCCTTAAAACATTCTTGGCTGAGAGGATTAATAATTTCTTATCTCAAGGTAGTCCCTACAGTTGGGCTACATGCACCATGAGCTTTAAAAATGGTGAATGCTATGGGCTAAATGTGTCCCCCAAAAGTTCATGTATTGGAAACTTGATCCCCATTTTAATAGAATTAAGAGGGTGGGAAATCCAATCATGGTATTTGAAAGGTGGGGCCTTTAAGAAGTGATTAGATTGTGAGGACTGTAACCTCATGAACAGATTAATCCAGTTTTGGAGTAATGGGTGTGGTTCTGATGGCTTTACAAGGAGGGCTAGTGAGGTGGTTAGCTCATTCTTGCTTAGCCCATCCTCACCAAGTGACATCCTGTGTCATTACAGAGAGCCACCATTAAGAAGAAGGCCCTCACCAGATGTGCTCCCTGAACCTTGGACTTCCCATCTCCAAACTGTAAGAAATAAACTTTGTTCCTTTATAAAGTGCCCAGTTTCAGGTATTCTTTTATAAGCAACAGAAATGGACTAACACTGTAATGCTCTTTGACTTAGTAATTCTAGATTGACTCTGAAAATCTATCTGAGGAACATAATCCTAAATATAGAAAAAGCTTTATGTACAAAGGTATCCATAAAAGCACTACACAAAGAGCACTACCTGAAAATAGTAATAGAAAGCAAAAGAATGGAAACACTGTCCAAAAGAGAAACAGTTAATTAATTATACACTCACTTGAAGAAATATTATGAAGACATTAAAAGTAAACTTTCCTTTGAAGAATTGTTAAAGTATAATATACTCCTTTTCAAACAGTAAGCAAAAAAAAAAAAAAAAAAAAAAAATATGGCCATGTAAAAACACCTAAATACCCTACAATAAAGTCTAGAAAAAAATAAAGTGTCAACTGTGGTTGCCTTTGGGAAATCAAAAAAATAAAATATCTATCACATATTCTTTATTTCTAAATACATTAATATATGTTTCTTTTTATAATGACAAAACAAGCATATAAGAATCTTTCTCTTCACTTAGAAAGAAAAGCAGCTAGAGAAATGAATCTACACACTTTAAAAGTTTCAGGACAAAAGAAGACACTGTTTCTCTGAAATATCCACCTTATACCACATTACCTGATTACAAAGGTACTGGCCCAGGCCAGGTCTAGCAGCAGCACTAAGATATATAACAGGTTTTTTGTCATATAACACATTAAATCCATCCACTACAAAGTCTTCATATCGAGAATTAATGGCAAGCCTACAGATCTTTGCAAGTCCTTCTCTTTCTTCTTCATGGAAATAAGCACAGCCATTTTCATACCTGTTAAGAGACACCCATATATAAATATAGTCTCATTTCTGATTAATTCTGATTTTATATGTCAATCTTACAATCACAGAAGCAATTCTTTTCTCAAGGTAGAAACTGTCAGCTGTATCAGAGGATAGGAATATGAAACACCCTCACATGGATGGCTGACAACTCATTACAGCTGCAGGTTATAAAGGAGAGAGACAATAACTCTTCATCCATACCCAACTCAATAAAGGGCAGGAACTATGAAAACAAGTAGAGACTAGGAGTCCCCCAGATATAAAAAGCCCGAAGATCATGGTTCTGGTTTATTCTACAGGAAGGCTGGCACTGGATAAGCAAGCACCGTTCTTAGCAGCATCTCAGCCCTAAAACATCCAAAGTGAAAAAAAGTTGTCAAAAACTCTAGTCAGGCTAACTTTTGCTTTTACTATAATCTGCTTAGGGAGTTTATTCTTCTCAATCTCTAGAGAAGGAGGGAGAAAATTTCAATTATAGGCATTAGATTTTTACTAGAACAACAGAAAATTTCCCTTTGTAATAAAGTTAGGCAAACTTACACTATATGTAGGACAAGTTCTTTCCTAACGTCTGAAAGTGAGGGTCTCTCAAGTTTAACTGTTTTAATGTTAGGCAAACATTCCTTCTCTGTAAAAGTAATAGCGTAAACACCATACCTTTGTTTCTGTCTCTCCTACTGAAGAATCCTTAATTTGTTGTAATTCCTTAATAATGCCAAGATTATCACAGTTTAAAGCAAATTTAATTTCCTAACACATACTCATCTTCCTTATGACAGTTTCCTTTCTACTAAAGCACATTTGATCCAGTGTTTGATCCAGACCATTGCTCTATCTTCTGTTAACACGTGTCAATTAGAAACCCTAAAAATAACTACTGACATCAAACATACATGTGCTTATATGTTCAGTTCTTTATGTATATTAATCCATTAGCTCATTTAATCCTAAGAACAATTCCATGAGATAGATAATAATGCTATCTCCATTTAACAGATGACAAAACTGAGGCATGGAGATTAAGCAACGCTTCCAAGGAGGAGAGGCAATTTGAACCCAGGTGACACAGCTCTAGAAAAAAGGATCTTTCACAGTCTATACCTGACTCATAAATGTCTTTACTGAAAACTAAGAACTCTTTATGTCTTTACCTGAAAATTCTGCATAGCCATAAGGTAGTATCTGAAAGTATCCTAGTTGTAAGTTTTCTCAGCTTCTCTTTGTCCAGAGTTGAAATATAAGCTCCCAGACTATGCCCCAACAAAGCCATGTGACCTTGTTCTCCAATATTATGAATTCTGTTAATCAAAATTTGTTAGATTAAAAAAAGTATTAGAGTCGAAGCATAAAAAAGGAAAGAGAACTTAGAGACACACTATTCCACAGAAAATTCTGTCAGACTTGATATCCACTTACTGGCTCAGAAGGTAGAAATTCATATAAATGTAGAAAACTCAGTGCATATAAGATATCAATAGTTTTGGGAGAAAAATATTTTTAAAATTAAATACCAGCCTTCAGAACTATGGAGAGTAGAGCCAAGATAAAATGAGCAGAAAACTTTTTAAAAAAGAATTATTAAATAAAGATCAACTCTCTGCATTAAACAGCTATTTATTACAATAATACAGCAAATTCAAGGGGGACTAGGTATTGTTTGATATACAATTAAAATGGATGGACTAATTTCTCTTATAAAGAATAACTGTAAATAATAAGAAATGGGTTTACAAATGTTAACTATAAACAATAAGAAAAAGACAAAAAAACAAATAGGATCATGGGCAGAGAACAGACAGTTCATAGGAAGAGAAATATAAATGAGTCTTCAAACATACAAAAAGACACTTAACCTGGTTCATAATAAGAAAAATACAAATGTAAATTATGCTGAAATATCATTTCTCACTTATCAGAATATTATTTCTCAGAGATCCTAAAGTCAGATAACACCCTTTTAGGCAAAGGTATGGGAAAAGAAGTATTCTTATACATGGCTGGTGGGACTGTTAACTGGTGCAACTCCATGGAGGGAAATTTGGCAATATCTACCAAAATTACAAAAGCACATACTATTTGACCCAACAATCCCACTTCTAAGACTTTATCCTCCAGACATACTTGCTTCTATGACAAATGACACATGTTGAAAGTTATTGACTGCAGCAATGTTTATAATAGTAAAACATGAATAGGAGACTAGTTAAAGAAAATATGGTTCATCTATTCAAAGCAAAACTAAACAGCTCTTAAAAAGGAGCAAAATGTGTGCATACTATTTATGTACTAGAGGAGTGGGCATGGACATTCTGCTTGTGTATACACCCAGGTAAAATACCTGTAGAAGAAGAGGCAAGAAACTGATAACATTGTGTATTTCTAGAGAAGAGAACCAGATAGGAAGGCCGAAGTTGGAGAGGAAAATTGCCTTTGTATACTCTTTTTTACCTTTTGGATTTTAAGCCAGGATGACACATTACTTATTCCAAAATAACTAAATTTAAAAAAACTAAAGAGAAAATAAAATTAAATAAATAACTAGAGAGATGAATAAATAAAACAGATGCATGATTCACAGACAACGTGGACTACCACCAATCAATTCAGCTGCCACAATTCTTAGCAAGCAGAAGCAATCAGAAGCAGGAAAGCACACAGCATTTATTTTTGAGTCCTTCTGACAGCCCCTTGCTAAGACACAATACCATAAAAATTACGGGATCTGATTTTAGTAATGTGTTCCTTTTCCAAATTATTACCTAAAATACATAAATGTCTTTCTGAAAAAAAAAATGAACATTACTTTAATATCATATGCAGCTCTTAATGAAATATAGCTTCTTATTTCAGAAACCTGTCATAATGCAATCACTACTGCAATCAAGAACACAGATTTTCAAAGAGAAGCTGCCAACCATTCTCCATTACCGGGCACTCAGGGGCTCCTCATCTTCATCTCCGTGCATCAGATTCTGAACTAACTGGAGGATGCTCACCATATCTTGTCCACTGCAGAATAAAAAAAGAGTTGTCAAACTGGTGGAAAGAGTACACACCCACCACACTCTCAGTATTTTGCTCTTACAAACTAGCTTTGGAAAGTGTGTTGATTTTTTGTTTTTGTTTTTTTTTAACCAGATAGCTACAAGAGAAAGAATGTGGCTTCAGATACAGTTCACACTTTTTAAAAAACCAACTTTGAATTATAAACTGAATTCTGAATATAATCTTACTGGTTGTTAATTATATCTTCTACCTAAATATGAGTTTGACTTTTAAAAATTTCACCAGTCTTGCTCTAGCAATATTTCTGTACTGGTTTGTTTGAATCTTGGAGAAGACAAAGAATATTTAATAAGCATGTTATAAGAGCCAAGAGTCCTACAAGATGCTAGGAGGTCACAGAAGCAGCAAGCATACCCCAATGCCACCGACATATCTACTTTTCCTCCATGTAGGAGTTTGTCTGTTTGAACAAACAGCCCTGAACATGTAATACAAGCATCATTTATTACCAGCTCTTCTCCACGCTGTGGAACTTGAGATCTGCTTAGAGTGTAAAAAGGTTTACTTCTATCCAAGACATGTTACTAAATGCTCATTACATGGGGAAGTGGCACAATAAGAATATGAATGGCTAAAGTAGCAAGCAATGGCAAGGCAACTTATAATGTGGAATGCAAAAATTTTATCCCTCTATTAATGAGAATATACCTAATAAAAAGTTTTCTCTTTCAAAAAAGAGGTATCGTCAAAACAGTGCCCCAAAACCCATCCTCCCTAAGGTGCTGACCTTCACGTGAGAGGGGTTTTGGTCTTTGTACACTGTAGAGATTAGGGTAGGCAAGGGCCCTTGAGGCACACTTGGATGCTAACCACATGATCTTGAGCAAGCTATTCAACCTCTCTAAGCCCCTACATGACAGAATTGTGAGGATGCAATCAGACAGTGCATGTAAAGCATTTAACACTGTGCTTGGCATATCATTAGTCTCAAATGTTGGATATTAGCATTATTCTGTGTAAATACTCCTGACCAGTGGCTTCAGTGTGCTGCCACTCTAAGAGAATTTACAAATGTCCTTGGGACTATATCTCTTCTAGGGAAACTTCTGTGGAATTAGGAGAATAAACAAAACTAAACCCTTTTGTTCCCTTCAATAGGCCTGGGATGAGGAGACTTACAGGATTTGCTTCCCATTCTGAGTTGCAGAAAGGTCTTCACACCCAGGTTTCAAATTAACACCATTCATGCCACAAGTAGGAGTGGCTATTTTAAAATATTGGTATCTGGGTGTGTTAAATGTGACATTATTGGCATATTGTAATCCTTCCTTCATACTTTTCTTCTGCAACCCTGTACAATTTATATTCAGGTCAAAGGACAATTTAAGGGAGTTGTACTGTTTACCTATATGCAGTTTCCTGGTTATAAAAGAAAAAAAATGTTTGTCTCAGGGAAGCTGAGCTGGGACTTGAATTCCAGACTGACTGCTAACATCTTGTGAAAATTTTAGTCAGCTACTTATTTTTATGATATTTTTCCTGCTAGCTCAAACCACAAACACTTGACAGATTTGCTTTAGTTACCAAAAAACAAATCACTCTGGCAATCAATGATTAAAGCTGACATTTTCTTTTCTTTTACTATATTTAAAAAATGACAAGTCATCAAATTAAAACATATCTCACAATAAAATTGAGTCTGCTGATTAGGTTACAGGTTTCAAGGATGAAGTACGATATTCAGTTATAATCACATTCATGAATTGCTTTGAGTCATGAAGGTTGTATTAAATTCTGAAGGGGAAATGGAGAAAAGCCGTAGACTTTATTACTGCCAAGCAGCCAACGGCATTTCAGTTTTCTAACATTAAACTGCACATAACAACTTAAATTTGCTTTGTGCTCATTAAAACCAAAATTATAAAAAAAAGATGGTAAAATCTTGGTTTAAGCAAAATTTACACCCTAACTATGGGTACTGATCTTCACTGCCACCTACCTGCCCTGGAGTGGCCCAGGAATATCCCCTGATATGAGCTTCTTTCCATTTTCCTCTTCTGTTCTTCTACTTTAAAGGAAAGGAAAAACTATTAATTTATCATCAAATTTCTAACATTTGAACATGCAAACATGTGACATTTAACCTCTTAGTGACTGATGTAGGATCTGAAACACATTTATCACATCAGTTTGAATTTGATATAGTTTGAGTTTCTTTAATATGAAAAAAAAATTTCAACTTACTTCTTGGTTAGTTGATGCCCTACATGACCTGAATAAGTATTTATAGATTTGAATCAATATATTAAGTAAATTAAACTCTTACTAGACAGAATTGAAAATTATGAGTTCTTCCCCTCAATTTTAAAATCTTTTAATTACAAAGCACCTTCTACCCAAGACAAATACCAATTTTTAAAGTCAGCTGAAGCTATGTGTGACATTCTGAAGCCAAGAGGTGTCTTTAGCAGAAGGAACTAGAGCCACCAGTTTCACAACAGGTTGGACACGTTTAGCAGGGCCACCTCTCTCCCACATGCTCACCTCTGACTGTCCTCTAGCATCTTCATTGCCTCCTTCAAGTTTTTTCCCATTTCAGCTAATGTAGGGTCTGCTATCTGGGAAACAAACCAAAAAAAGGTTAAAATTTAATAATCCTCTGTTACTTCTGCAACATAATTCATCCAAAAAAGTTAAAAGCAAGTCTACTTTCTTCTTCTTATTATAAAACACATGGACCTAAAGTACACGCATGATATTAAAACTTCCAACAGTACAAAAATATAACAAAAAGTAAAAGTCCTCTAGTCTTGCTTCCCAGGGGAAGCCACTTTTAAGCCTGACATATCTCTTTCCAAATTTTCACCTTACTCACATGCACCTCTGCAACTTGTTTTTTCCTACTTTATAGTAACTGGTTTCATGTCAGTATTCTCACTTCATTTTTCTTAGTGGTTATACCTTATTCCATCCTACAGTTGTACCATAGTTAACTAGTTCTGAATTAATGGATCCTTAGGTTATGCCTAGTTTTCACTACTAGAAGCAAGGTCCAGGAAAGTGTGTACAGCATGCTATTTGTTTTACCTCTGTAGTAAGCTGAAAAATGTCCACCCCACAAAAAGATCCTAATCCCTGAGATCTGTGAATATGGTATCTTATATGGCAAAATCTTTGCAGATGTGTTTAAGGTAAGGAATTTGAAATGATGAGATTACCCTGAATTATCTAAGAGGGCACAAAATGCAATCACATGCATCCTTGTAAAAGAGAGAGACAGAGGGTGACTCCACACACACACATACACACACACGCACACAAAATTAAGAATGTCTCATGGCTTTGAAAACTGGACTGATATCACCCCAAACTAAGGAATGCTTGCAGACATCATAAGGTGGAACAGGCAAGAAGGGACCCTCTTCCAGAGCCTCTGGAGGGCGGCCCTGTCAACATCTTGATTTCAGCTCAGTGATATTGATTTTAAACTTCCGGCCCTCAACACTGTGAGAGAATAATACATTTCCGTTGTTTAAAGCCATGCAGTTTGAAAAATAGCTATTATTAGTAAATACAGATAATTGATATCATAATAGTAACATTTAGAGAGTTAATTGTCCCACCTCTTATTGACTGACATAGAATGCTCCTGAAGTGGTAAGAATGTTGGGTGTGCAGACCATCCACTTAGCCTGAATTTATCATGATCCAGGGTGACACACTGAGTTTAATGTCATCAAAACAAAGCATGACATATGATGTAAAAAGAGGACTCTCTATTTTGAGCACCGTAAGTACTTTGCTCTTGGGAGGCCAAGAGAATATTGAGGAGGAAGTATCTGACCTAGTATTTGACTTGTAACATTGGCTGCATGGTGGGAAAATGATTCACGTTGTCCAACAAAGGGAAGAAATGAAAAGACTAATGGAGGGGATGATAACCCCCTCAACTGGGTGGAAATATCTGGTGGCTTTTGAAGAATGTATTGAAACAAACGACACTTCCAAGCTTTCTGCCAGAAAATTGATTGCATATTTTTAATGTTTGGGAAGTGCGAGATCTACTCTGACCAGCATCATTAAAGCATCATGCCAACAACAAAAAAATAAATAAAAAATAAAGCCATGCAGTTTGTGATAATTTGTTACAGCAGCCACGCAGAGCGTATATCTGGAAGAAGCTGGTAACAGTGATTGTCTCCAGAGAATGGAACTGGAAAGATGAGCACTGAGGTCTGAGGGGGTCTTTCCAGTTTGTACCATTTGACCCTTTTGGATTTTAGTACTATGTGTACATTTATCTCCCATCCAAAAAGTAACTGAAACAAAAATTTAAAAATGCTTGCACAATTAAAATACACACACACACACACTCATTTTCCTTACTTTCTTCTTAATCTTTGTAGCGATTTTTAGGGGAAGAATCTTTTTGCCTCGAATCTCTAACATAGTATGAGTTGTGTTACAAAAAGTTACAGAAACTCTCTTTTTTGTTTCCCTCTCACTTTTCAAGTGCACTAGTTGAGGGAGGACCTGTATTTATTTTCTGTTCTCTTCATATTGCCTACTGCACCTAGTAATATTTTCTACAGAATAGATGTGCAATATATGTGTACTACATTTAGTACTGCATTACCTCTTCAAATTTATTAAGAAATTCTACTCAATTTATCAATATAAGAATAAGAAAATGTTAAATTCTAGAAGGAACCATAGCGATCTAGTCCAGAGTTTTCCAGCTGTGTTCTTTTGAGCCTTAAAACTCCTGGGAAGAACTTTGGAAAGGAAGGTTTGGGTAGAAAGTTGGGGTCTTTAGCTCCCCATCTCCCATTAAGAAGATCAACTCTGTTTTATACATAGGGTTTTGAGTAAAATTTCATTTGTAAGAAGCTCCATTAGAAAGAAGAAGAAGAAAAAAAAAAAAAAAAAAAAGCATGAAAACCTCTGATTCTGGTGGGGTCTTTAGCTCCCCATCTCCCATTAAGAAGATCAACTCTGTTTTATACATAGGGTTTTGAGTAAAATTTCATTTGTAAGAAGCTCCATTAGAAAGAAGAAGAAGAAAAAAAAAAAAAAAGAATAGCATGAAAACCTCTGATTCTGGTCTAACATTTTAGAGGTGAGGAAACTAAGACTTACAGAGGTAAAGTGACTTGCCTGAGATCATGGAACTAAAAAATTACAGCATGATTCCAGAATTCTCGATCCCTGACTCCTATTTCTGGCCTCTATTACATCACACTGACTCCCAAAAGGACTTACAAAGTAATCATGTAGCTACAACCACTCAATTTTCACCCAAAATAGAAAAATCATTTTAAAAGAGGTATCTTCAATAAAATTCACAAATGTAACCATAAGATAGGTTATAAAGCAATCTAAAAGGGTCTCAATGCTTTCAGTTAATGATTTTTAGTAGGATGAGGAACAGATAATAGTCAAGAGAATTTATCTTAACTCCTAAATCTGCTGGTCATGTTCCTTATCGTTGTCACCTCCTGTGACACTCACATTCATACCTCCACACTTCAAACTTCTAACACCTGTCCTGTTGGAAATATCCTTGTGCCTTTTATCTATCTCTAGCTACCTATTCAATCACAATTCAATATTTCCAAGAAATCTTTCTGGATAAAGCATTTTTACTCTTTCATGTCCCCTCTAACGACATCAATGCCCCTTTCCCTAAACCAAACACCTGGACTTGTAGCCTGACAAAAAATTGTTGTATTTATGGGGACACTGGGACAGAACCCTCAAAAATTGGGGCCATTCTGATATGCAACTCTATCCTTATGATTCCTTACACCCTCGACAGTGAATTATTTTACAGATGTTCTTTCCAGTACAGATATGCTCCCCAATTAGATTATAAGCTTCTTGAATGCAGGGATTCAGACTCCTACTAATTTTGATTTTTCTTTTAAGACCAAGGATCTAAAGTTGGCACACTTCTCAGATTGTCATAGTACCCCTTAAAAATCCCTTAGGAAGGCATGCCAAATTGAATATGAACATACTGACTCTTTATAAATGCAACACAGCTAATTTTTCCTACAGAAATGGAACAAATTTTTTTCAGTTAGACAAAATAGTTGATTTAGTTTAGAAGTCACTTTGTGTGGACAATACACATTCATAAACACTACAAACACATGTAATGACAAGATGCTTACACTGTGAAAGGCAGGAGGAAATGTGATTCGTAATCCCCCATCAAAGTCTCTCACTCTATAGTGCACTCTCATGGAGTGGACTGGCTGATGTTTAAATTGTTCTTGCTCCTACTCTCTTTTGGAGAGCTGGGGGAGGGAGTGAGTGGGTAGGGAAAGTAGCATTTACAGTTAAATTTGGGTAAATTGAATGTGAATATGATATGGCTCCAATGCTATAGGCCCTCATGTGCTTGTTGCATTAACTGGATAATCCAAAATGTAAAGTATTATCCAATTGCAGGATATTAGGCTCTAAGCCAAGGAATGATCTAAAAAAAAGATGTATATCTGTTGTATATCTAGTAACTGATCCCTTAAAACTAAAAACCATGCCTACATAAGCTTCTACTGAGGGTGGCCACTACTTATTCACATTTTGTATCCTCAGCACCTGTTACAGTGTCAGACAACGTAGCTGTATTACCAATGCTGATAACAGCAGGATAACAGATAGACACAAACCTAAATGTACGAAGAACATTAAATTGTATAAGGATGTCTATTATTCAGTATATAGAAGAAAACTGTTTTATGATATGGGGGGGGGGGGAAATAGTATTCTACATTAGGTTCCTAGGAAAAATGTCATCGAATATCTGTATCCCTTAGCGCCTATGACAGGGTCTGGCACAGAATAAGTATTCAATAAGGTTTATGATCCTTAATAATTACTAACACTTACTGGGTTGCTTACTATATTCCAAGCATTATGCTAATTAACCCCTTTACATTACTTCCTAACGAATCCCAAGCAACAGTTAGTATGCTTTAGAGCCAGAATTTAAGTCTTTATTACTCTAGAACCAGTGCTCTTAACCACTAAGCAATATTGCTTTTCAATTTTACCAAATTAATAAAGCAGCTCACACTGTGAAAAAGCTCTGTACTCAAAAATCGTAATTAGAACTAAGGTTTAATTATAAAGATTATCCTTCCTTGAACAATGTTTTCACCTAGAAAAGGAGCAACTCTCCTTATAGGGAAAATTTCTATCCTACTATAATCTCAACTAGATGACCATAAACTTATCACCCAAACTGGGGCATTTTTAAGAGTGAAAGGACGTAGTAGTAATAATTAAACAAGGACAAAAGGTATAAACTGGGATGGTCCTGTGCATACCAGGATGCACAGTAACCCTACCTTTAATTAAAATTTTACTTCAGATCTTAAACCATTATTTCACTTAGTGAAATCCATGCAAAGTTTTACGATGGTGGTTGAGTTATACGGTAAAATAAAAGACAACTTGAAAGTAGAGCACCTGCGGTGTAGGTATTGCCTATGGCATCACTCTCAATACTCAAGGATCACACAATATTGCTACAACAGACTCTTTTTCCTACCTCTAAACATATCTGAATACATTTTCCCTTATGTAAATCTTGAGTAAAATGACCTTA